ATTGTCCCTGGGTATCAGACCAAGGGGACCATAGGGGGAAGGGAGAAGGTTCTGGAGACCAACAACATGGGTTTCCAATGTGTCTGCTGCCTTTCCTCTTCATGAGTGATTTCAGGCTGGTCACTGAACTGCTCTGAGCCTCAACGCCCTCATTCGTTAAATGGCGATCCTAGCATTACCAATCTCTGATCTGAGGAGGTTGTAACCACCTTCAGTACACTGTCTGCGTGACTGGTGGTGAAAGCAATGACGGCGAACAAGGAAGGGGACCAGTGATACCTTAGCATGCACGCCTAGCTTACCTCTCCTAGCATATAGAAAGAAAGCTGTCACCACACAAAAGCTGAACCCTACTTCATTTCAACTGAAAGAAAACTGTGTGTGTTAGCCTTCGCTGCATTTGATCTTTGCTGGCTCCTGCCAGGGGCCCCACACTGAGGCAACCGCTTTGCAAAGTTCTAAATAAACCAGGAAGGCCCCTCCCCTGGCTCTGCTCCACCTACATCTGGATGGAAGCACCAGAGGGCCCAGGAGTCCAGCCCAGCTGGGCCCCAGACACTGAACAGTGTAGCCCTCCCAAGGCCAGGCTGGGTGCCCTGGAAAGGCCGGCCCTTCTGATGTGTGCCTGCAGCAGACAGACATTTGAGTCTAAGCACTGGCATCCTGCAGGGCATTGGAGTGCCTCTCATTTTTCTGCTAGGCTGGAGGTTGGGGAGCAGGGTGAACCTACGTAGGAGCTAGCAGTGTGGCTAAGTGGGGTGCCAAAGAGAAGCCAGATCCATTTATGCCACAAAGTGACATGTACAGTCTCTCCAAGGACGAGGGAAACCTGCTGTGCACACGGAGCAATGCCAAGGCCCAACCAAGCGAGAGGCAATATGGCGGGAGAGCTCTCGAGTCATGTGGGCACGGGCAGTGTCTAAGCCTCAACTGGCCATTTCTTTCCTGGTTTCCTGGAACTAGGTGATAATTACAGAGAGTGGGGAGACAGAGGTGGGGGTGGGGTTGAATCTGGCCCTGCCTCTTTCCAGCGTTTCGTGTTTCCGTTTCCCCTCACAATAAATGAACACTTGGCATATGTCAACGTTCATTCCCCACACACTCTGAAGGGAGGACAAAACAGTTATGAAGAGCACACTCATGTGTCTGTGCTTCCTGCAGCATTCACTGCCTACTTAGACCCCAGAAGTTGTCCACAGAGCTGTAACAGTTAGCTTACATTACCAAACTGACACAGTCTAGAAAAAATCACCTGGAAGAAATGTCTGAATGGGGAACTGTCCAGATTGGGCTAGCCTGGAGGCGTGGCTGTCTGGGATGGTCTTGATTGGGTTGGCACAGAACAACCCAGCCCATCGTGGGTGGCACCATTCCCTGGGCTAGGGTTCTGGATTGTGTAAGAGTGGAGGGAGAGAACTGAGCAGTCATGCATCTCTCTCTCTCTCTCTTTGTTTTTGGTATTGTTTTCTGAGACAAGATTTCTCTGTGTAACAGTTCCTAGCTGTCCTGGAACTCACTGTAGACCAGGTCTGCCTCTGCCTCCTGAGTACTGCGGTTGGAGGCATGCAATATGACACTGGGTTCCCTCTCTGCTCTTGACTGCGGATGTACCGGCTGCTAAGATTATCTTGTCTTGGGCTGTCTTCCGTCCCATTGATAAGAACGAATCATCCACTTCTGTATCTTACCTAAAATTCTTTTAGCTACCAGATGACAATCTTTAAAGTATGTATTACTAGCCAGGAAATGGTGGTGCATATGCCTTTAATCCCAGCACTCAGGAGGCAGAGGCAGGCAGATCTCTGTGAGTTCCAGGCCAGCCTGGTCTACAAGAGCTAGTTCCAGGACAGAGAAACCCTGTCTCAAAAAAAAAAAAAAAAGATTAATTAATTAGTATATCACCAGCTTTCATCAACCCCAAATCTAAGAATGTCATCAATAATATCTGAGGCCAGCAGCAGAGACCCACCCCTCATCTCTCTC